GCCCTCCAGACCCGGCCAAGCAAGGTGGGCCGGGTCCCCCGGGTTGAGCCGGGCCTGTCTCTTCCCTGTCAGGGCCCTCTTTGTCCCCGGAGCAGCAGGTGAGGTGCGCTCCTGGAGGGGGGCGGGGCCGGCTCGCAGGCACAAAGGCGGCTCATCTCTGCGGTGAACTTGAGAAGGGAGCAGAGGCCCAGACAATGCGTCCAGTCATGAACCGCTTCCCACTTCGGAGCCCCGAGCCTCAGGCTCTGAGCTGGTGCGGGCGGTGGCCAGGCCCGAGAATCCTGCCAGGGCCGCGGGGCCTGGTACAGGGAAGACAGGTGAGGTTGGTGTGGAGGTGGCCGACGGCAGCGTGTTGGGGACACACAGCCCCACCGGCACCGGTGCCCCGTGGGCGTCTTGTCCCCACGTCAGCGGCCTGGGGAGCAACCCAGCGGCACAGGGTCCCGCACAGCACAGGCACCGGCCCCAGCCCCGCATGCATCTTCTCTGGCCAGACCCTCCGCTGCACCTGCCTTATTAGAGCACCCTGTCTCCAGGCGGGAGCACGGCTGGGAGCACGTCGGCGCCATCTGGCCGGGCCGGCGTGGGGGTGCAGGACCCGCTGAAGCACTTGCAACAGCGCCAGGCCCACGCTGGACCCTCCCCCTGGCGTCACCCACACGGAGGACCCTCAGCCCCACAGGCACATGGACGCTGCCAGTGACAGCACGTCCCAGGCCGGCAGAGCCGGACCCAGACCCCAGCACATCTCAGCGGCTGAGTCCTCACAGGCCGGGGTCCTGGGCAACTGTCTGCCCCTGCCCTGCACACGGCAGGGCAGGTTGTGCAATGTGCAGGCCTTGCTAGAGAAGGCCTGGCCTTAGGTCCTGCAATCCCCAGGTCTCTCTCTCCCGTGTCCAGGCCAAGGGACAGAGGCCCGAGAGCCGGTGGTGCTGGGGCCCTGGGGTGCTGCCCACAGCAGCGTCATGGCACACAGGTGATGCGTCTGTGGTCTTCGCATCCTCCTGTCGTCAGGCAGGCCTGGCGTCCACCCCCCGGGCTGTGCGTCCAGGGCCCGAGCTGATCCTTCTCCCCTGCGCCCCACGGGCACCGAGACCCACCGGGCTGCCCGCGGCTCTCGGGGCTCGGACAGTGCTGACCGGCGGGGGCTCTGCCCGGTTCCTTCCCAGCCCCGGGCCTCCCCTCCCGGTCAGCTGGCGTGGAGGGCTCTTTCGTTGGCGACACTGGCATGAGCAAACCCGTGCGGCAGCCAAACAGGATGTGGCCTGGGTGACTCCCAGCTCCCAGCCGCCCCGTCCTTGCTCTCAGCTGCCCCGACAGGGATGATTCTGCACAGTGGCCCGAAGTGCAAGGCCGGAGGGCAGTCCCGCAGCGCCCCTGGCCTCGTGCCCTGTGACCCGCGCGTGTAATGGAAGGGAAGGAGCTGGAGGGGCCGGGCCTGGAAACTCGGGCCAGCCGGGAGCAACCATCCAGCCCTGGAGCGGGAGCCCTTTGCCTTTGGGTTGGCGTGGAAGCTTCCGGGCTGGGCTTCCTGGCCAGAGCTGCTGCTTCTTGACAGATCTGGGCCCAAGGGAGGCGTTTTGTGAGGTCCTGCCATGTGCGGGGCCCCTGCCTCACTATTCCATGGGGTGCCAAGGGCCCAGGCCCTGTGACCCCTAAATCTCGAGTTAGGTGCAAGTGACCCTTAAAAATAACTGGGATGAATAGGAAGTCACCAGCCCCAGGACTGCACGGCCCCGCCCGGGCCAGGAAAGGCTGCTTCACTTTGTTTCTTTAATTCTGCTGCGTCTCGTTGCAGGGATACTGGTTCGCTACACGTCTGTGGTTCAGTCTCATGCGTCTTCAGCACCGTAATCCTGGCCCCCTGCGCCTTTGCCCCCCACCCCTACCCCTCGGGAGCCTCAGTGCTGCCGTCAGATTTCTAGTGCTTGTTTTGTGGGTCCTTTGTTTTGTGTCTGTACGGTGCACACGCGAGCGAGGTCACCCCGCAGGTGTCTCTCCTCTGGCTCATCCCCCTGAGCATCACCCCTCCTGCTCCAGCCACATGGTCGCCTGCCTGTGGCGAGAGTCACCATTCCGTGGCCAAGTGATATTCCAGAAGATACGTCTGGGCCACATCTCCTTAATCCACTCCCCGGTCCATGGGCGCTTAGGTTGTTTCCAAATGCTGGCTACTGTGCCTAACGCTGCGGTGAACACGGGGCGCGGGGGGCCCTGGGGCCTGGGGTCCCTCTCTTCTTAATCCCCACCCTGTCCTTGGCTTGCCCCGCTGACCTTGGGGCTGGCTCTAGCTCCCCCACTGTGGACCATGTGCTTTTCTGCCACATGCCCTCCCCAGATGTGGCTTGCTGGGCGCCCTTTGCTGCTGCAAACTGCACAGCGTGGAGATGCGGTGCTGGAAGCCGGTCCGGACGAGCGGGTGTCCAGCTTCCTTCCTGCAGGAGACCCAGCTCGTGCAGCCTGGGCTGTGAGAGGGGCCATGCGCCCCTGGTTACGCGCTGTGGATGGTGCGCGCCTGCTGCTGATTCCGCCAGTGGGGGTGCCCCTTTCCTAGATTTTCTCTCTCTTTTTTTTTTTTTACTGAGTTGCAATTCTTAGAATTTTCTGGAAACCCAGCCTTTCTTGGCTGTGACTGTTGCAAACATTGCCTCGTCGTTTTTCACAGGGTTCAGGCACATTCCATTTCAGAACCACGTCTTTGAGGATGCCCCACTTCTGGCCTTTATGTCCCGGTGTCTGGGGCTTCTGCAGCCCACCCGCAGCCCGGGTGCTTTCCCGTGCAACAGCTCAGTTCCCTTCAGACAGCCCGGCATCCACGAGCCCTGGGCGCCCCTCCCCCACCAGCAGCCATCCGGAGCTTTCCGGGTGCATTTTGCAGCCTCCCGTGGTCATGGCTTTCCTGCAGGAATGCGGGGTCTGGGAGGATGGGCCCAGATCGCTTACCAGGAATGCAGTCCTGGAGAAGGTTAAAATTAGCAAAAGCCGCCACGTTTCCTGCCATTCAGCCGCAGTGGCAGTGTGTGTTTGCACAGGCGTTCTCCCCAACAATCTGTAGCTGCTTTCCCTGGAATGTGAGGTGAAGTCATGATTTCGGGGATGGAGGTGATCCGTTTCCATGGCGATCTTGTCCGGGAGTCATGGCTTTGTGAATTCTTGCAGAACTATGCTGGAATGGAAAAACGGTATCGAAATAACCCCTTTTTATAGCCAGCCATAAATACTTTGTTTTCGCAAACAGCTCGTTCAAGGGAAGTAGCTGTCCTGGAGCCCCCCTCGCCGTGGGCCGCGGGAGGGGTGCTCTCAGCACGGCCAGCCCCTCCTTCGCTCCCCTGGAGGCTGGGCTCCAGGGAAGCCCCCTCTAACCTACAGAGCTGGGGTGCCCCCCTCCCAGGTGTCAGGTTTAGCAAATAAACATGCAGACACCAGATACCTGTGGCTATTTGGGACATGCTTACGCTCAAGAGTTATTTGCTGTGTATCTGAAATTCGGTGGCTGGTGTCCCGAGTGCCAGCTGCATGCCCGATGCTCCCCCCACCCCACCAGTCCGCTTTGCCCTTGGGCTGTTCTTGGTCTCCGCTGCCCAGCCTCTTCCAGGTGCGCGGGCGTCCTTAAGGTTCGAACCTTCCCTAAGGTTCTAACACTTCCATGCTGGACACCTCCTTGCCCGCTGCCCCGTCCTCAGGCGGGCATGCGGCTGACCCTGCTGTCCAGGAGGTGCGGAGGGGAGGGCATGCTGGAGGTTGGCAGCCTGCCCGGCAGCTCGGAACTCATAAAAGGCAGAGTTAGAACCTGACCTCCCAGTCTGTCCGATGCAAAAGTCCAGGTGCTGGAGGGCACTGGCCAGTGTGACATCATGGTCCCTGGAGAGCTTGAGGACTCCTCCGAAACGCACCCCCAGGGCGCTGGATGCTTGGGGAGCTCATCCTCTCTGGACTGCCCGGAAGTGCGCCCTTTAAGCCAGGGTAGGTGAGCCCCAGAGTCAGGCTTTGCAGGTAAGAGCTGGGCAAGCACGGACCCCAGGTAGGGACAGGGGCTTCTCTGCAGGGGCTGGGATGTGTGGGAGTTTTAGGGGGCATTTGACCTGGCCAGAGTGAATACAGGAGAGGAGGCTGGAAGTGGCCCAGGGCCAAACTGGGGGAGCTCTGAGATGGGAGGGGTGCCGAGTGGGCAGGTATTGGGAGGAAGCAGGTGATTTCATTCTGGTGCCAGGAGGCCAGGAGCCCAGCCAGAGATGAGCAGGACCAGGGAGTGGATGTGGGGCGGGAGGGGGGCACCTCCGAGGCCAGAAACCAGCTGCTCCAAGGCCCAGTCAAGACCACGGGCACCTGGGGAACTTGCTGTTGGGTTCAGGCAACAGGTGCTAATGGAGCATCTTGCTGCACACTGGCCTCAGGGCGGGCACAGCAGTGAGTGGGCAGGCCAGTCATGCCGCGGACACACAGCTTAGCTTCCACAGCGGGTGACAGGGCACCTGCTGGCTCCCGGGGGCGCAGGGCCAAGCCCAAGGCTTCGTGGAGCTTCCCCGGGGGAGAGAGTCAGGGTGCACCAGTGCTCTGAGCAGAGCATGTCGGGAAGGTGGGTGGGAGGTAAAGATGGCTGTGCGCATGTGGAGGGCTGAAAGGGGCACCACTCTTCACGTCTGACCCTGTAAGGGTCACTCACGGCAGCGGACCTGGCCGCTCCGCCTGGCCTCACAGCTTGGCATGGAGCCGTTCCTGGGATGGTCCAGGTGGGCCTCGGTACCGTAGCCAGGGCAGGCTCTGGGGGGGCGCCGGGGCGTCATCAGAAGGAGTGAGCCGGGAAGGGAAAGGCAGACGCGGACGATCCCGCATCAGGAGCCACACAGGGCAGCAAAGCAGATGAGCCGATGACGCAAAATAATTATAACCCGGGGGCCTCCGCTGGCTGCTGCCCCCCGGAGTGGGGGAGGCGGAGGGCGACGCAGCGGCTGGGGGTTGCGTGGGGAGAAAGGAAACCACGGGGCTTCGTTGGGGTTGGTTTGTTTTTAACCTCTTCTTCCGAGACGGTGAAACGAGAGGAGCCAGACCGTGTGCTCCCCAAGCAGCCGTGCGCGGGCTCCCGCAGGTCGCCGGGAGCAGGCGGGGTGGCCGAGGGCGTGAAACGTGTCTGTCTCCGGGGTGCGGGGACCCGCCTGGACCCACTCTGAGCCAGTGGCTGGCCCGGCGTTACCGGAAGGCTTCCAGACTCAGCGCTCCAGAAGAGACGTGCGTGGGGGGCGATTATTGAAGAGTTCTTACAGTTTTTGACTGAAAAAAAAAAAGAGCAAGCTGGGGGTTCTGGAGCGAGCCTCAGTGAGCTGGGAGGTGGTGGCCGCAGGGCCTGGGGACGGGGTGTGGGGTCGCCCCCAGGTCCTCAAGAAGGGAGCAATCTGCCGATGGCTGCCCAGCCCAGGATCGGGTGTCTCATTTCTGGCCTGCGGACGGTCAGGGGCCTTGGTAGAAGCCGCCAAGCGTGCAGCCGCGTGCGATGGCGGCTCTGGGACTGGACACAGGGCCTGGGCTTGAGCTCAGCTCTGATGGGGGTGCCCCGTGCGGCCTGGCCTGGGGCCTGGGAGCAGGTCCAGCTCGGAGCCAGCAAGTCCACGGCAGCCGTGAGGTCCGCAGCCCCCGGCCTGGACGGCGCCACAGTGATTCTGTATTTTTAATATAAAACTGTCAGCTGGGATATAAATGCCCTTTGCTTTTCTCCAGATTTAGCTGAGAATAAATGTGTCTTGTTTGTGGCACAAATGTCGACTTGCGTCTAAAATGCCCTCCCAACGCGGTGAGCAGCGCCGGGTGTGGGGCAGAGCCACCACCAGCTCGCGGGGACCCCAGGCCCCGCCGGCCCGTCTCCGCTGCAGCAGCAGCGACCAAGCCCCAGTTTGTTCTGGTTTGGGGTCCCCAAAAGCAGAGCCAGAGGCGAGGACTTGCAGACTGATGCTGGGGAGTTCTCGGAAACAGGCAGACGGGGGTAGTGGAAATGAGGGGTGAGCGATGACCTCCAGGTCACCAGGAACTTGGGGTCCGTCTGCTCACGCTCCGACCTGTAGTGGACCTGGGATGGCACAACACAGCTGGTCTCCTTAGAACTCAATTCAGGTCTCGGGCCTCAGGAAACACTTGCTCGGGTGCTACCGTCGGGGCTTGAGGGGGCTTGTTAACCGGTCAGGGGTGTCAGCCGGGCTGATGAATCCCCGGGAGACTCTCATGAAGTGAGTGTCCCAAACCTCCCCTCACCTTGGGGAGGTTTTCCGGCCTGTCGGAATGTTGCCGTCTGCCAGCAAGGCAGACACCCCGCGCAAAGCTGGAGGGACGGGGGCTTACAGGCCTGAGTCTGGGGCGAGCGGGCGCTGCGGGGGCCTGGGGGTCCGCTGGAGGCTGCATGGGCAGCTCTGGACCGAGTGCCTTTCACGTTGCTAGGGTGAGAGGTGGCCGGGTGAAGCGCCGACCCTCAGGAAGAATTCCGGAGGTCAGATGCTGGTGGTCTCTGTCAGCAGCGGGGCGAGCGGCAGCCCCAGGCAGCTCCAGGCAGGCTCCAGCTGCCGGGATTCTGGAAGAAAGGACTGGAACCCAGACACAGCTCCACTGAGGCTCAAGAAGGGGCTGGGCGGCCCCACCCAGCCCTGCCCGCTGAGGCGTGGGCATCACAGCCTTGGGGGCAGGGCCAGGCCTGGCCCACATGCCCACAGCCGAGCCCCAGCCCATCTGGTGGTGGGGGCTGGGCCCCTCACACCTGCCCCACAGCAGGTAAAGGGCGCGGCTTCCACCTTCAGGGTCTGTGTTCCTTCCCGCGGGAAGCAGGAAGGAGGTGCTTGGGAGCCAGGCTGGCGTCTTGGGCCCCTCAGCCATGGGCCGTCCTCCTGCCCGAGCTTCTGCTTCCTGTGCTGCCCTCTCTGGACACTCATTCCTCCGATTACCAGTCACAAGCTGGTCTGTAGCCCTGGGCAGGACCCGCTGCCCGGGGAGCTTGGGCCTCTGATGTGCCCAGTGGCCTGATTCTGCTGCCTCGCGTACCCCTTGGGGCTGTGGCCAAGGGGGGGTGTTCAAAGTGTGGTCCTGGGGCCAGTGGCAACCCCCCCGCCTGGGGAAGTCACTCTGGTCGCAGGCCCCCCAGGCTTGGGGAGGCCGGCACGGCTGGTGCCGTGGTGAGTCCCTGCCCTGTGCCTGGGGTGTCCGGAACCACGCACCACCCGTCCGTGCGGGGCCGGCGCTCAGCCTTCTGTCCTCCTGGTGTTCTGCGCGGTCCCCGCTGGGCACTGGGCGTCTGCTCTTCGTTCCGAAGGGAAAGCCCTGGTCCCTGGCCTCAGCGTGGAAAGCAGAAGAGAAGAAGCGTCATACTCTCTCGTGGCGGGGGGACTTGAGGAAACGTGACCCAGAGTTTCAGGGTCATTTCAGGGTCATCGTGCTGGTCACAGGCAGAGTGGGGATGGGGACCAGGGATCACCTCAAGAGCCCAGCATCTACCAGCGCCCCCAGGCAGGCAGCCCCCACTCCCTCCAACCCCCACACAGGGAGGCAGGCGGGTGTCCATGGGTGTGTTATGGACGAGAATTCTGGGCCAAGCCGTCATGTCTCTGCGTGAACAGCTTGCTGTCTAAGCGTCACGCGTGTCTCACCCTCTATCCACCGCTCCAGGCCTCGTCAAGACGACACAGCCGCCCAGTGCCAGGGAGGGGGTGGGTGCCCCCAGGCGGGGGGTACCGGCCCCTGAAGCTGCGGGTCTGCGTGGCTCGGGGCTGTGTTCTGATGGCCAGTGGTGGTCACCTCCCGGTGTTGTCTGGTGACAGCATGGATGTTTCTAGAAACAAGCCCACGTCAGGAGCCAGGCGTCTCCCAGACGGCAAAGCTTCCTGCTGCCTGGTGAGCCCACGCTGTGGTTTCCTGGGGGCCGTGGAGTCTGGAGGTCCCACCTGGTGCGTAGCTGAGCGGTCACGTCCCCTGGCTCCCTCCCCCAACCCTGAAAAGCAGGTCTTTGTGCAGAAACCTGGACCTTCCAGAGAGGCAGAGCTTGGGCGTTCGGAGGCAAAGGAACAGCCAGACCTGTCCCCCCTAATCCATGTACCCTGAGGTTCCCTGCACCACCCCCCACAGCCAGGGGCCCCTCCCACCGAGCACCAGGGGCCGGGAGGCTCCAGCGTGCACTCAGGGTGCCTCAGCGCAGCTGGATGTGTCTGAGTTGGCTGGGCCAGCTCTGGGTCCCCCTGGGTGCTGGATGTGAGTTTGCTAGTGGGGCTCCCCTCCCCGGGGTCCTGCCACCTGCCGGGAATCCCTGAGAGGGGAAACCTCCACCTCGGGACCCTGGGCCTCGAGTGTAGCCCCAGAGCCAGCATGGCCTTCACCCCACGTGTGGGAGGCTCGGCCCTGAGCGTGGCGGTGCTGCGGTGGGGGACGGCAGCCTGAGCGTGGACAGCCCGTCTCATAAGGGGCAGCTGGCCCCTCCATGGCGTCAAGCTGGGTGGCCATCTGCACCCACTGGCAAACCTGTGTCTGGTAGCAGGAGGTGGGCTTTGGGCAGCCTGGGGTGCAGGTGAGGGGTAAGGAGGGTGCGGGAGGCCAGGGGGCCGGCCACGTGGAGGGGCTCTTTCTGGGGCAACTCTGGCCTCTGGAAGGGGCCGCTGGGGCCGGTGCAGAGGCTGGAGGCCGGTTCAGTCCAGATGGAGGCCAGCGGCTCCCCGAGCCTGGATGGTGGGGGTGGGGGTGGGGCCCAGCTGCTCTGACTTGACACGGTCTTTGGAGCTCTGGCTGTGGCCTCCGCTTCTGTGTCTCCTCCCTCCATCGCAGCCCTGCTCCGCGGGGCCCGCCGTCTTCTGTGGCCTTTTCCTTAGTTTCCTGGATGCCGTGGTTGTGCCGCCTTTGCTTACAAGGTTGCATCTTCCTGCGATGCAGTGGCCCTGCTGGGTTCTCTCTCCCTGGGTGAGCAACTTCCTCCCGCTCCCCCTGCCCCTGGGCATCTGGAATTCATTTGCCCTCCCAGCCCCCAGCCCGAGAGGGGAGCAGTGTCCTGAAGGCCTTGCCTGTCCGCCGCGCCCTCCCGCCCAGTGTGCTTGCACAGGGCCGCGTCCTGGGCTGTTCCGGAGGACCCGGGCCGGGAGGGCCGTGACGTGGGGTGGCGTCCCGCCTGCCCACCTGCCTGCCAGGGCCCCTCCGTCCGCTCACCTTCCCGGCTGCGGCCTGCACGGATGTCCCTCTGCAGCTCCCGTGTCAGTGCTGGGGCCGGCCACCTCCAGCATGACCCCGCGTGTGCGGAGGAAACCCCAGGGCTGGCTGGGCGTCTGGGATGTGTCTGTGGGGTTCAGCTGATAAGATGATCCTGTTGAGCTAACACCGCTGGGCTTTGCAGCAGATGTAAGGGGAGACACAGCGTGGGTGGGGGCACGGGGGCCAGCTGGGCTCCCCAGGAAGCTAACGCTGACTCCCGAGGTTGTGCAGGTTTATTGGGGAGCACCCTGGGGGTCAGCACAACTCGGGAAGGGAAGGCAGGCGGGAAAGGCAGGGAAAAGAGGGAAGGGGAAGAGAGGGAAAAGGAGGGGAAGGGAGGGCTGCAGGAATGTGGGGGGACCTGGGCCTCCGTTCCCGCCCTGGAGGACCCTTCAGAGTTGTCAGGGAGGGAGCAGAGGCCCAGCCTCCCCCACACACATGGGGCTGCCCCAGGAAGGGGGGCTGCTTTCCAGCGTGGCCCTCCCAGAAGGTTCTGTGTGGCACGCCGCCGCGCTCGCGGTGGGGAGGGCCGCCCGCGCCCACCCCTCTCCGGCCAGCGCAGGTCAGCGCAGTCTGCGGGCCTGGAGGGTGCCGGCCTGTCCAGGACTGAGTCTCACGGCCCCATCTCCCCGTTGTGTCTTGCAGCGTCTCCCTGTGCTGGACTGAAGGCCGGGGCCTGGGACTGTCCGCCTGATGTCAGGAAGCTGGGCCTGGTGTAGGTAAGCCCTGCGGGCGGGGTGTATGCCGGGGGGGGGGGGGGGGGCTGTGGCCCTGCGTCCCAAGCTGCGCAGACCCCTGTGGGGAGGCGGGCAGAGCAGCTGCGGAGGGAGAAGGCGCTTCCGGAGGCTCCCGGTCACCTCTGCTTCCGCTGACGGCCCCACTGGCAGCTACTCGCTGCCGCCCTCACGCCCTCGTCAGCCCCACCGTCTCCCGCGGGAAGCCCAGCCGCGTCACCTGTGCACAGCACCGTTGGCTCCCGGTCGGCCCCGGCTCCGGCTCCCAGCGAGCTTCCCTTTCTCTGGCCACCGAGGCAGTGCCCGGGGCAGCTGGCTCTCACCCCGCTGCGGACAGGGCCTGCTTGGCTGCCCTTTTGTGTTTGCACAAAGGAGTTATTCTTATGAAGTAAGAGGTTCTGCCTGGGGAACAATGGCAGCAGTGAGGAGATGGGATTTGAGAGACTTGTGTGGGGCAGTTCCGGGTCGCCTCCCCTGGGGCTCGGAGGCGTTTGTCCTTGGAAAACAATGGCAGAAAATGTTACAGGGAAGCACTGAAGAGTGGCCGGCCAGGAAGCCGGAGCCACCCCCACTCCAGCCAGGAAGGCCCCGTGTCCTGGCAGAAGGCTCTGGTCCCTTTCTTGGCCTTGCCGGTTGTCATTCTCAGGCCGTGGAAGGGGCCACGGGCGTGGCGCTGCTCAGGCCGTGCTGTGTGCGTGGCCGGGCCCAGCTTCCCCCTGTTGACACCAAGCCCTGTCCCCTGGTGGGAGGACCGGGTGCAAGGAAGCGCATGGCTGCGTGAGCTGGGTGAGGAGGGGCAGGGAGGAACCCTTGGCTGCTTCCTTTCAGGGTCCTGTTTGAATAATAAGGGCCCTTCCACAGGAAGTGGGCGGCTTCTCCAATTATTCCAGGTTTTTCTTTAAATCTTGCATCTCTAAATTCTCTCCTCTGGGAACCTGGGGGAAGACGACTGGGCTGCGGCCCCGTGTTGTGTTCTCACCCAGCTCCACCCATCGTCCTGGACCCCCCAGGGTCTGAGGTACCTCGGGAGGGAAGAAGAAACCAGGGCTGTCCCCTGGTTGGGGCCTGGGGTTCTTCTGAGGAATTTCTGAAATTTCCAAGCCTCTGGTCCCAAGGTCAGTCTGCTTGCTCCCCGGCCAGCTCTCGGGAATTAACATACTCCGAGGCCTTGTAAGGACAGCCCCTGCCCTGGAGGCTGTGGGCTGTTGGGCTGCGCCAGATTCCTAGCATTCTTCGGGCCTGGCATGGCCAGAACCCGGCTTCTGAGCTCATACAGCCAGGAGGCCTCGGGCGTCTTCTCTCTGGACAGACTTGATGGACACCCAGGACCCCTGGCTGACCCCCAAAATGGTCTCACCGTTGGGTCTGCATTTAGGGTGTAGCTGGGCCAGGACTGGCCCCCTTGTGAGCAAAGCGGGGAAGAATAATGGGGGTCCTGCTGGGTCCCCTCTTCTGCACCGGCGTCCTCCTGGGTGTCCTTTGCTTTTTCAGGCCCTGAGCCAGGAACTGACAGGGTGATTTTCTGGGTGACATTGGAGGTGGGGGGGAGGTGGGCATGTGGCTGTGACAAAAATGGCAGCTGGACAGATTTAGCCAATTTTTATGCCCTCCCCCGCCAACCACCAAAACGTGATTGTATTGTTTTCTCGGTGCTTCTTAACCTAATCAGTCTCACGTTCTTGGCCAGGCAGAGCTTCCCAGGGCTTAACATCTGGATCCAGAGTCTTGCTGGGGCCTAATGTTGTGATTTGCGTGTAATCCCGGCAGCACCCGGCCAGTCCTTAATCTGTTATGGATCCTGCTTGTTGTCATCACCCTGAATAGTTTATCGAGGCCCCCGGGGTACCACTGTGGGCCCTAATGGCCGAGCGAGGGGGCCAGTAACATGCTGCCTCTGGCGACCTTCACCCTACGGTCAGCTGAGCTGCCCAGGAACTGGCTCACAACGGAAACCGCCGGCTGCCCCTCAGGGAGCGTGTCCCAAGGATGGAGCCCGTGGGGCCGCCCACCTCGGTTCTGTGCTGATGATGTCGGGATGAGCTGGATTCCAGGACCATCATGGGCAGGTGGAGTCTGTCCCTCGAGCCGGGAGCACGTAAGCCTGCACGTTTGGCAGGTGAGAAAGGAGGCTCAGAGAGAGCCGCATTCAGGCCCAGGGGATTGCTCAGCCACAGAGCTTGGGCCCCATCAGCCTGCCTGCCCCTCGCCCCCAGGCCTGGCACCCCTGAGCTGCGAGGCCAGTACTCCCATGTCCAGCGCTGGCCAGCCGAACCAGCCACAAATGTGAGCTGCGTCATGGAGTGAAACTGGACAGAGAAAATCGAACCTTTTCTCTTAGGACGTGAATTCATGGGGAAGCTGAGGACGTGGAGACTGGGTAGGCGGGGCCATGCCCCTCGGCCCTCTGACTCGCCCTGTCTCCGGAGGGGCAGCTGGCAGGGCACCGTCTGTGGACCACGTGAGAATGCGTCGGTAAAGTCTTCTCTGCACACGGGCCCTTCTCTGTGTGGGTCATTTTGTTATAGAGCAACCCCGATATAAAACAGTTTGCCTGGCTGTGGGTCCTCACCCGCGCGCTATAAAGGGACTTATGAATACTCTACTACAGACGCACACAAAAGGTGAATAAAAGGTTTATTTACAAGGGAAAAGGAAATGAGGAAAATGTACAACTCAGGGAGAAAATAGGGAAATAAAATCTTTAATGCGTCCTACGCCATCCGCTGACCTGGAAACCCAAAGGCACTCTCAGAGCTAGACGGACGCCGAGCTGGCCGAGGGCCCCAAAATGGAGAGAGCCCCCAAAGCCCACGTGTCTGCCTTTTGTATCCACCTGGCTGCTGAACCCCACCTTCAGGTCCCAGCCACCTTCCCTTGGGTGGTGATGGGATTTGGAGTTCCCAGTGTCTTTGGCTTTGGCCTGAGGTGGGGGTGGAGTCCACAAAGCCTGTATGGAATTAGCTTTGGGACATCCTTTTCCCCCTAACAATATGTTTGGGGTGAAGTCCGCGGCCTCCATTAGACGGTGCCGTGGCGTCCTGTCCTTCTCACGGCTGCACCCCGTCCCCAGCGTCTGGTCACCTCCGCTGACTGCCGGGTTTGGGGTGGGCTCCTGCCCATGTGTGGAGAGCCCCCGGCTGCCCCACGTCCTTGGCCAGTGCTGCTCAGGCCAGCGTCCTGAGCAGTATGCCGCCAGGCCCGCCAGACTCGTTGGCAGGGGACCTAGAAGCAGGCTCTGCTCCTGCCCAGCTTGCAGGCTCCTGCGGACAGTCTGTCCTCATCGGTGTGACGGTGACCAAGGGCAAGAGGCGCCCCACGTCCACGCACAGGCTGCAGACAGGACAGTGCTCGCCGAGCTCAACACCCTCTGCATTAAAATGCCTCCCCAATGAAGGGCTGCTTGAACGTGATGAGGTCATGAGCTCCCGGCCCCCCGACTTCCCCTCCCACTCCCCCGAGTAACTGAAATCAAGAATCTGGACCGGCGCGAACTCCAGCCCTCTCGCTCGTCTGGGGCTGGGAGCTGTGACCACCTCCGGGGAGCCGAGTCGGTCTCAGCGCAGCCTGGGGAGCGGCAGGCCGTGAGGACAGAGACTCGAGCAGGCTTGAGGCCTGGGAGGCCAAAGCGGAAGATCCCACCGCTGCCTATTTCAGGCGCCTTCAATCTGACGGAAACTGCTCACACGACAAGGCGCCCTCCCGCGGGGCCTCCTTGCTCCTGCCCCCGGCCGGGGTGCCCCTCGCCAGCTCAGCACGTGAAGGTGACCCTGCGGCCCGCAGGCTGCGAAGGGCCCCACGAGAGCGTTTCGTGCTCGGGTCAGGAAACAGTGTCTCCGCAGAGAGCGTGGAAGCTGACCTCCGTCCTGAGTGTGCACAGAGCCCTCGGGGCACACGGCCTGCGAGGCCTCCCCTGGACGCCCTTTCTTCCTCGGCAGAGACGGAGCCCCGTCCCCGAAGGTTCGTGCAGACACGAAGTTGCCGGTTGTTCACTCCAGCTCGCACAAGAGAGAAAAATGGGGGATTATCGGAAAGGTCTGGGACCCGGAATTGGAGGGAAGACACTTCAAGAATTTGCAGCCCCCGCCCCCACCACCTGGGCGCCTTGTCCCGTCTGTCTCCTGGCCTCTGCCTGAGCCCCGGGACGCCCGGCCCAGGAATGCTGGCTGGTGTCCAGCAGCGCTTGGCGGGACGACGCTGTGCCCGCTCACCCAGTAGGCCGGTCCTCGGCTGCTGGGCCAGCGGGAATGCTGCGACTGACCCCCTGGGGTCCACGGAGGAGCCACCGCAGGTGAGGCAGGGCCAAGGGCTGTGCAGGCCTCCAGGCAGTGAGGCCTTTGGCGTGGTGAGGAGGTGACGTTTTTGTCCTCACCTGGGCTGATCTGCCGGGCCCCGTCCCTCCTCCCTCACACTCCCTCCCACCTTCCCTCCTGTGGACCAGCCGTTGGGCCTGTCTGGACACCCCACCACCCTGTTCTCACGTCTCCACTGAGGGCCCAGCGCAGGTCCTGTGACTTCACCAGGAACACGTGGGCGCTGGGCCTGGAGACCGGGGCTCCACGACATTTCAGCTCATTATGAGCCTCAAGCACATCGTCTCCCCGGGGGCCCCAGAGCCAGGAGGGGTCACGTGACTGCTGGCCGAGCTATTGTCCTCGTCCCGGAGCGGAGCAGAGTGGGTCCCCGGGATGCTGTGGCGGCCTGCGGGTGTCCTGCCGGGTGCTGAGCTGAGCCCCTGTCCAGGAGGCCATGGCCTGGGGACCCCGCCGTCGCTCCCTCCGCTCTGTGGAGAGCCCGGGGATGGACAGGCCTCCGAGCCAGCCCTCTTTGACATGAGGAGCAGGCGGGCGGGGCACTGAGGCCGTGGTCATGTCGGGTGGCCGCCATCCGCCGCGCGGGGCCCGCCTGGCTTTGCACCGGTGCCTACCGCAGGCCCATGGGGCAGCCCTGGACTTTGCTCTCGCAAACACAGCTGCATTCTCTCCTTC